GGTAAACCATCAGCAAGTCTTCTGTCACTGAGCTATGCCCCAGCCCAGTTTGTAACATTTTCTTTTGGTATCAGGAATCAAACTCTGGACCTTTCGCTAGCCAGGCAGGTGCTGTGCCACTGAGTCAACATTTTCAGCATTTAACATTTAGTGATATTTGCTTCTTTGTGTGTGTGTGTGTGTGTGTGTGTGTGTGTGTGTAGATTTTTGAGACAGGATCTCACTATGTAGTAGTTCAGGCTGGCCTTGAACTCACTATGTAGCCCAGGCTGGTCTTGCATTTGCAGCAATCCTCCTGCCTCAGCATCCCAAGAGCTGGGGTAACAGGTGTACACCACCACACCCAGTAATATTTGCTTTATAGTTTCCACTCTCTATCACTCTGTATCACCTCTTGAACATTTCAGGTCAGACCATGTTCAAAAAGCACATGTGGCTAGTGGTCACTATATGCATCAGTACAGCTATAAGGGAAAAGTTGACCCAAATGACCCAAATTCAAGTGTCTTTGTTTTCTGAGTTTTTTCTTCTCCTACAGAGAGAAATCTACTTGAGAGTAGGCTACATCATACTCTTTTACTCTGTATGTATTTCTCTTTTTTTGCAGTCCTAGGAATTGAACCCAGGAATTCTCTGTCACTGAGATACAACCCCAGCCCTTCTTATTATTTTATTTTGAGAAAAGATCTCTCTAAAATACCCAGGCTGGGGGCTGGCCAGATAGCCGAGCAGATTAAAGCATCTGCTCAGGCAGATGCATGGACTGGGGTTTGGTCCCCAGCATGCCGTGCCGACCCCACCCCCAGGGTGCACTGAGATGGCAATTGAGACTGGGCTTGGTGGCACACAACTGTAAATTCAGTGCTTGGCAGGCTGAAAACAGGAGGGTCACTGAGTCTGATCTGTGTAGTGAGACCCTGTAGACCCTGTACTAAATAGAAAAAAAATTGAAAAAAATAAAAATTTAAAAAGTAAGGGCTGGGAAGATAGCTCAGTAGAATAAGCACTTGCCTGGCATGCACAAGGGCCTGAGTTCAATCCCTGGTACTACAAATAAATAAATAAATATATAAAATATTGTTTGGGGCCATGAAGATAGTTCAGTGGAATAAGTGCTTGCCTGGCAAGCACAAAGTCTTGAGTTTGATCTGTGGTACCACCAAATAAATAAATAAATGGTACCCAGGCTGGTCCTGAACTTGTGACCCTTCTGCCTTGGTCTCTGCAGTAGCTGCGATTACAGCCCTATACCATCACAACCCCACTTCTGAGCATGTTTTTTTTTTTTTGGGTACTGGGGATCAAACTCAGGAGCTCACACTTGCCAGGCAAGCACTTAAGCTGCTGAGCTGTGTTCCAACCTGTGAACCCAGTTGTTAAGCACAAAAATACTCTCTCACATAGCTACATGACAGTTATTAACTGTTCTCTAAATGAAGGTCCTTACTCCAGTTTTTTTTTTCCTATTCAAGTTTTATCAATTGTTCCAGCAACATATTTCATAGCAGTTTTTCTCTAGTACAAAATCTAGTCCACAGAGATTTCTTGGAAGACGGTGTAGTAGTGAACAGCAGAGAAACACCCTGAGATTTGGTGTCCAGATGCTGGAGTATAGAATGGTGAGGAAAATAAGGAGGAAGTGGGTCCTGAGACCCAGCCAAACTCTGAAGCAGGAATTGAAGCCCATGTGGAGAGTGAAGAGAGAGACTCCTGCCTGGCAAGTGCAAGGACCCGAGTTTGATACGCAGTATGAGAGAGAGAGAGAGAGAGAGAGAGAGAGAGAGAGAGAGAGAGAGAGAGAGAGATTCTGGAACCCACAGACACACAGTGACTACTGGTTACCCCAGAGGCCTCTGCAGAGATACACACCAGTGGTATAGAGCAGTGGGCATAGTTGGATGCTTGGTGAGTTATTTGGGATCAGAGCTTCCTCAGAAGAGGGTGACTGGCTGTTGGCCATCTTGGAGAGAAGGCAACTGAGCTCAGAACTCAGCAGCTGTGGGCTGACTATACCCAGCGGCTCCCAGCATCAGGGTGGGGTGGAATTGAGTTCAAGTTGTCAGGATGTTGGAGATCCAAGCTCAAACCAGCAGGGAGCAGAGTCCAAGCCAGCAGGAAGCACATGGAGCGTTGTAGGTTGAACAAATCAGGTTCCAGCCTCACAGCCAGAGAACCAGCCTAAACTTCAGTGGGGCAAAGGTGCAGGCTTGGTGGGATTACTCAATGCCCTGAGGTAAATCTACTACTGGGTTGCTGAGATTAATCAACACAGATGTGGGCTCTGTCTGCCCACTTGGTCTACCAGTGACCGCAGAGACATGCCCTGATGTGGACATTTTTTTCTTGTCTTGTCTTTTTTTTCTTTTTCCTGGATTGTTTGTTCCTGTTTTTATAATAATGACAATACTTTTTCTAGTTCTTTGTTCTGTCCTTGTTTTTATTTCTTCCCTCTTTCCCTCCTTTCTTCTTTACCAGTTTCCCAAAGTTCATGTTATCTTCATTTGCCTGCCAGCCTTGCTTCTAATCTATCTCTTCCTCTTCTTCATTTTGTTTATTTTCCACCACCCCATTTAAAGTTTTCCCCCTTAGGGTAATATTGCCATATTGAGGACATATTTACTTTATACAATTTTCTGCTTTTTAAAATTTTTTTTCTGCTTTTTTTTAGATTTTGTTATATAACCACAAATCTAGTTCACATGGTTAAAGGCAGAAATTTATTTATTTATTTTTATTGAGAAATAAATATGAATGAGACAGTTTCACAGCTGATTAATAGGACAGTTTTGATAATCCAATACATTGTACATTGTTATCTTCTTAGTGGTTATCCATAGTACAAGAAGCAGACAGGATAATCTGTCCAAACACTGTTAGTACACCTCTTTCTTCTCATTGAATTAAGCGAAAGTAGCTGTAAATTTATCCTATTTTGTATATATAAATACAAAATGATCTTTCCTTTGTATCCTTTTTTTTTTTGTCCTGTCAGAGGTGAATATTCTATTGGCATCTACATACTATAGGTGTTTGAACTCAACTCAACAATCTAACACTGGCTAGCAGTCCATAATATTAGTGGGTTATCCTCAGAAGTTATTGACTTGAGCCTTTTACAGCTCATCGTATTAATATGAATTTACTTCATATACTTTGTTTTTATACTTTACTGCTGGATGGTTAAGACCAAGATATAGCAAGACCTATATACTCAGAATTGTAACTTTTGTATCTGATAAGGTCAGCCAAGTACTCTCAGGATTTATCCTGTAGCCCTGTACGGCCCTTTGTACATCCAAAGGAAGAAAATTAATGCCACAGCCTGTCATTTTCTAGGCTGTGTTTGATGTTATTATCACCAACTGTACCATGTTAGCCAAGATGACATTGTTATTCTTGGTATGCCAAGGCTGAGATTGCCTGAGGGTCGTAACTCTCCCGAGTTCAAGGCTAGCCTGAACTACATAGCAAGACCATCTTAAACAACAAAACTTTCCTTCATCTAGGTTCCTAAGTGGAGAAATTGCTTGATTTCCTCAAGTCACCATTATTACCAGAAAACCTTTCCTGGAACCAACCTACTTCCAGGTACTTCAGCAGGATGGTGTGGACCAACAGTTTGAGGGGGCAGTAGGAGGGACAGGAGATACAGTGTTGTGGAGCATGCACTCCAAAAATGTTGGACACAAGGGATAAAGAGATGAACCAAAGCAAGGAACCCCAAGCTCTTATGTGGGAGAAAATAAAACATGTGGAAAAGACATGAAGATCTGGGCATGATGGTGCCCACCTATAAACTCAGCACTCGCAAAGGCTGAAGCAGGAGGATCACCAAATTGAGCCACCCGAGGAATTCGGGCACTTTAGTGAGAACTTGTCTCAAGGTTAAAAAGTAACAAAACTGAGTATGGTATTGCAGTTGTAATCCCAGCACTGGGGAAACTGAGGCAGGAGGAGTCCCTTTAGTTCCAGGCCAGGCTCAGTCACATAGTGAGTTCACAGCCAGCCTGAAATGCATAGTAAGACCCTATTTTTTGGGTTTTGGGTTTTTTTTTTGTATTTTAGGAAAGGGTCTACAGAGTGTTCAGGGTCTCACTACTAGATTGGATTTTTAGTGATCTGCCTATTTACAGCCTCCCAAGAGCTGGGATTACAGGCGTGCGCCACCACGCCCAGTCTCAATTGTCATCTCGGCAGGTACCGGTCCCGGGGGTGGGGGGACCAGCAGGGCAGGCCCAGTGATCAACCTCCAGCCCCTGTGCCGGCTTGCAGGCGCTTTAATCCGCTGAGCTATTTGGCCTGCCCATGGCCCTATCTTAAAAATAAAATAAAATGAAATAAATAAAGCAAAACACAACACAAAGTGTGCTGCTGTGTTCTGTCCTGCATGGTGGCCCACCTTCACACTGCACAGGGTGTATGTCTTTTCCTACTTTTACTTGGCACAAACCCACTCTGCAGATCTTTTTTCTCGTTTTACATTTCATAAAACTTTGCTACCATTAAGCAAAACAAAGCAAAACAAAACAAAACAAAAACATATTAATAAGTGTTGGGTAGCTCGGTGGGAAGGCCCTGAGATGAAACCCTGTACTGAAAACCTTGAGGGCCAGTGGTGCCTGAAGCACAAGGATCAAAGGCTGGAAAAGCAGAGGCCAGGATCGAATGACAATCAGGACGAGATCATGCAGGCGCCTGCAGGCCACGGTCACAAGTTTCATTTTCATTCTGAGGACAATAAAACGACATATTATTTATTCTGTAACTGCCTAAGGCATTTTCATTCCAATTTTATAGACAGGATCAAACTGGACGGTATGCTAAGTGGGATCATCCACTAAAGGTGTGAGCAGGGTCTACGAAAATCCTTCGGGACGCGGGTCCTAGAGGTCGTCTCCTCCAGCCACTGTCCCTCCCGCCCTAGCGCCGGACTCCCCACGGCCGGGCGGATACTGAGCATGCGCCGTTAGCTGACGGAAGCCGAGAGGGAAGGGGGCGGGGCCGAGGCTGGCGGGCGCGGGGAAAATGGCGGCGGCGGCAGCGGCTGCGACAAACGGGGCCGGAGGGAGCAGCGGGATGGAGGTGGATGCTGCAGGTAACGGGCCGTGTTGGTTCGCGTCTGGAGAGACCATTTCGGGGTGCGTTAAGGCCTTTCTACCCGTGACAGGAACGGCATCTCTTCCTGGGTACCTTGGAGGAGAGACAGAGGGCCCAGGGTCTGCCCTCCCTCCTTCCCATCTCCAGGGAAGAACGTGGGGCGCGGACTGCCACTCTGTCCTTTCCCTCCACCCATAGTAGTCCCTAGCGTGATGGCCTCCGGCGTGACGGGCAGCGTTTCCGTCGCTCTTCATCCCCTTGTCATTCTCAACATCTCAGACCACTGGATCCGCATGCGCTCCCAGGAGGGGCGTCCAGTACAGGGTGAGTGTTCTGCATACTTGTCCAGCTCTCTGCCTTGGTCCCTTGCCCCAACCATTGAGCTTTCCGTCCTTACAAAACCTGATTCCTCCTCCCCCTAGTTACTGTTTCCCCAAGGTTCACACTGGCCCCAGACCCTCAGGTGAGTGTTTTACCCTCACCTGTTCCGTTTCATTCTCTTCCCCAGTGATTGGAGCTCTAATTGGGAAACAGGAAGGCCGAAATATCGAGGTGATGAACTCCTTTGAGCTGCTGTCCCACACTGTGGAAGAGAAGATTATCATTGACAAGGAATATTATTACACCAAGGAGGAGCAGTGTGAGAGGGGAATTGAAGTGGGGAAGAGAGTGGGAGTTGGGGTGTGTGTGCAAGGGGGGGGATCCAGAGGGGTTGGGAGGGAGCAAACGAGAGGAGGATAACGAAGGGATAATAGAGAAATCTGAAGGGATCTACGTGGGGAAAGGAAGCACTGTCAGGTATTCCTCCAAGTGAAAGAAGACAACCTGGAAGGGAATATTCTAAACTGAACCAAAATTTGAGAAGGTAGCAGGGTAAATAGACACCAGGAGCTTCAAACTGAGGAAGGGTGGTTTAAAGAAATACTATGTTCTTTGGCCCCCTCCTCTCCAGTTAAACAGGTATTCAAGGAGCTGGAATTTCTGGGTTGGTATACCACAGGGGGGCCACCTGACCCCTCCGACATCCACGTCCATAAGCAGGTATGCATGCTCAGGATTGTGCATGCTGGGGCAGACTTGAGGATGGAGGGGAAGATGGAAGACGGAGATTCACCTTGCTGTTTGTTGCCCCTCTCTTCCAGGTGTGTGAGATAATTGAGAGCCCCCTCTTTCTTAAATTGAATCCTATGACCAAGCACACAGATGTGAGTATTCTGACCCCAGTCCCACTTTGCCCTGCTTGTCTGTCCTATGCCTATCTTTTCTCCTCATTCTCTGCTATATTTTATTGAGTGACACATTTCTTCTGTACTGGAAAGTGCCAGGATTGAATCCATGTCACCACTTATGAGTTGTGTGACTTTGAGTTGGTCATTAAACCTCTAACCAGCATTGTCACATGTAAAGTAGACATGATTCCTACTTCACTGGGTTCTTTTTGTCTGTTCCTTTTGTCTTTTAGAGACAAGGTTTCACTGTGCTGTTCAGGCTGGCCTTGAGCTCACTTTCTAGCCCAGGCTGGCCTTGAACTTGCAACAGTCCTCCTGTCTCAGCCTCCTGAGTGCTGGGATTATAGGCATGTGCCACCATGCCCAGCTTTTACTGGGTTCTTAGGGAAACTAGATGAAAGAGAATGTGTGAAAGGGCCTAGGCCATTGGAGCAGAGTATAGATTCTGGAGTTTGCCTTTAATAAGAACTGTTTTCCATTTGTTCTTTACAGCTGCCTGTCAGTGTTTTTGAGTCTGTCATCGATATAATCAATGGTGAGGTAGGCATATACTACCCTTCAACCTTCAGATTCTGCTCTTGGCCTGTTTCCTGCTTCTGACTCTCCCTGTGTGGGATCCTGTACCCTGCAGGCCACCATGCTGTTTGCTGAGCTGACCTACACCCTGGCCACTGAGGAAGCTGAACGCATTGGTGTAGACCATGTGGCCCGAATGACAGCAACAGGCAGTGGAGAGAACTCTACTGGTAAAGGAGGGAGATTCCTTGGAAGGGGTAGAAGGGTCACCACGTGGTTTCTTAGCTGTCAACTGTCCCCTTATAGTGGCTGAACATTTGATAGCACAGCATAGCGCCATCAAGATGCTGCACAGCCGTGTCAAGCTCATCTTGGAATATGTCAAGGCCTCTGAAGCAGGTAGGACAGGCACCTCCCTGGCACCTCACCATTTTTTTATGAGACGTGACAGCATCAGCATCATTGCAGCATTTTTACACCCTTAGGAGAAGTCCCCTTCAACCACGAGATCCTGCGGGAGGCCTATGCTCTGTGTCACTGCCTTCCAGTGCTCAGCACAGACAAATTCAAGACGGACTTTTATGATGTGAGTGTAAACCTTTAATGGGGAGGCGGGGCTTACCCATCATCTGTAGGGCAGGGTATGGGACTCTTGTCCCCTGGGCATGATGTGGGGTACCCTTTGGGGAACTGGTTCCTTTTCCCTCCTAGCAATGCAACGATGTGGGGCTCATGGCCTACCTTGGTACCATCACCAAAACTTGCAACACCATGAACCAGTTTGTGAACAAATTCAACGTCCTCTACGACCGACAAGGCATCGGCAGGCGAATGCGGGGGCTCTTCTTCTAACAAGGGTATCTGAAGAGATTGTGCACATGGGTCAGACAAATGTCCTGAGGGGGCCAGGCGCTATACTCTTTAGAAACTGCTGTCAATAAAAGGAGAGCAGCCCCTTAGCACCCCTTCCCAGTGGCTTTGTCCTCTCTGTTAGGCCCCAAATGGGTCTCTCAACTTGGACCTTCAAAAGGATGCTTTTCTTTCAGCCTTGCTCAGAGGCAGAGATCCTGTTTATTGTCAGCTCTTCATGATTCCCTTCAGTGACCACAAATTCACATGAGGTGACTGTATGTTTATTCAGGTTGAATTTTAAGACTGAAGTCAAAAGATTGCCTGCTTCTACCTACCCGGTCTACCCGGTGTATGTTGTCCCTTAATGCCACCCTGATATCAGCTTACCAAAGCCAACTCTACAAACCTGTTTTTCCCAGCGAAATTTTTTTTTTTGGCTGTACCAGGGACTGAACTTGGGACCCTGTGCTTGCCAAGCAAGCACTTATTCTACTGAGCGATCTCCCTGGCCTCCCAAGCTAAATTTCATTGGAAGTGTTTTTCACATAAAAAAAGAATATTAAGCACATTTTCACAATAGGCAGTTCAAACCTTTGACCTATGGGCACTGTTAATTTTATCAAAAGGGAGTAGTTTTTGTCTGCATGTACTACATTGCTATGAGGCAGTGTCCTGTTTTACAGATGAGGCCAGGAAGGGGTCTTTAAAGATTAGATTGAATGTATACACTTGTGTGCCAGGCCATACACTCCCACATCACTGCAGTTCCCATTTATATTCTCAAATAGGGCTGTAAGAGTTGACCCATGAGCCAAGTGTGTGATGGGAACATTTAAGAAACAAGCCAAATGTGGTGCACTGTAAGCCCAACTACTCAGGAGGCAGAGGCACCTGTTTGCATTGTACACAAAGCCTTTAGGCTAGATTCCAGTAAGAGTAACTGGACTGGGAGTGTTGGCACACACCTGCAATCCCAGCACTCCACCAGCCTGACTCAGTGACAAAACAGAATGAAGCTGGCAACTCATATGGGTGCTGTATCCAGTGACTGGGACACACTGAGGTTAGGGGGCAAAAAGGGGCAGGAGCCTGAGAAGGAAAACAGGAAGGGCATATGAAAAAGTGAAGCCCCAGCCTAAACTAAAGCTGTTACAGCAGGGACAGGGTATTTTCTGGCTGCTTCTCAGTCTATACTTGTGCTTAGAGGTTAAGACATCAGTTACATCATTTTGAGTGGATGAAATCAAAACAATCACACTGTATGAGCCTATACATCAAACTGCTGAAGTAGGCATAGTTTGGAAAATGACACTCAATGTAACTTTATTAGCAAAAAGCATGAAAGGAAGTACAATGTGGGAAAAAGGGGGGTCTCCATCTCCTTCAGGATATTACACCTTAAGAAGGGGCAGCTTAGAATTCCATCACAAGTGGGGCCCAGCGTCCCCCACAGGATGTCATCAGACAAAGGTGATCCGTGTGCGCGAAGCATTGACCTGCCAGACATTTAACTCCTCGTATTCGTCTAGAGCCGCTTGGAATTGGGCAGGTGTGAAGCCACGTGATATGCAGCGCTGCTCTGCCTCAGAAAACCGGACACTTCGGCCCCCTGAGACCAGTTCACGGACAGTGGCAAATATCACATCTGCTGGCCTCTGGGTCCTGAAGGAAACACATGAGTTTGTAAGATCAGGGCATACACCAGGACACTCAGCAGCAAAGATGGTGGCTGGTGTTAAAATACTGAGGCCATCCTCATGCTTGTGGACACAGAAGCCACAAAGATAAAGTGAAAGAAACTGCTCAAGAAACTCAAGGTGACCAGTCTGATCTTTCATTAAGCCACTCACCTAGCTGTCTGCCCCTTGTCGCCTAGCAGTGAGTCCTTTGACATCTCCATTAGTCTTATGGCTTCGTTCACATCTTCCTTCTCTACTGTGTCCACCATTCGCAGGCGTGCCTAAGGGGAAGCCAGGGGAAGAGATGGAGACGGGGAGGGAAGGGATCCCGCATGTTCCAATTTAAGGCTGGCCAAGCTGTGTGTTGCCTACTGTGTCTTAGGACAAAGTGAGGATCCCACCCTTCACCCCCATCCGTAGTGTTGGGCCGGCACTGTCAGACCGAGACAAGTGCAATGCCCAGGGCAGCGTCCAGCAATTGCCCAAGTCTCCGCCTCTCAACACTGGCCAGTCCCGGTGTTCAGCTGTCCTGTGAGGGAGACCAGACCCTTCTGAACTCCACTGAGCTCCCACCATGACAGAGGGAGCCTGGGCAGCTCAGCCAAGATGCCTGGCAGAGGCTGTGTCCTGGGGGCTCGGGAAGTGCTAGCTCAGCAGTAGGTCAGGTAATCACACTACCTGCACGAACAGCACTTTGGAGCCCCCATGACGAAGGTCCAAGACGTGAGGACAGAAATGAAGGTTTATAGCACAGGCTCTAGTGTATGGGACGAGATGACCCTCCTCCCCCGCAGGCTGCTGCAGTGAGGCCTTTCCCTCCATGGGCGCTGTGCATGCCCTGCTGGAGCAGCAAGTACCCACAGTGCGGTAGCACAGAGGACCACTATCTGCACTGTCAGCACTTTAGCCCCAGCAGGGCCAGTGGGAAGGAGGTGGCCGTGTTAAGGCGAGGATCACGTTGGGGGCAGCTGCCAGACAGGGTCACCCTTCAGCACAACAGGGACTGGCACTCACCAAGGCAGTGGAAAGTCGGAGGATAGCCAGCAGGGTCCGGGCAGAGGTATAGGTGGCATCCTTACTAGCCCAAGCCTCTCGCCTCATCTCCACATACGCTGCTGTGATATAGTCAGCCAGAGACTCGGGCACAGTGGGCTGCTTCTCGCGGCACATAGCTATGTACCGTCTGTGGGAGAAAAACTTGGTGGGAAAGCAGAAGAGATGAGGATGACACCGCACAGGCATTTTTTTTCCCCTCCCTAAAGGTTTTCATTTCAATCGATCATATGATTGGCGTTTTCCCCCCTTCCTCAAACGTTTCCGTTTCAAAAATTAAGATTTAAGTAGGAGAAAAAACAGTGAATGATTTTACTTGGCTTGGTTATCACTGAGGGTTTTCGCCAAATGTCAGGTTCCAATGCATTCTGAACTACTTCCAATTTTTCAAGAAAATGGCCTTTGCAAAAGCAAAAATCCACTTGCCAGTCTCTTACTCTGAGCTTAAGGGTTAGCTAAAGCCAACAGAAATATTCTGTTTACAAACAACAGGTCTAAAGGGACTGTGGAGAAAAGGAGATAACCAAAGTTCTCAGTGGTCTCCACACTCTTCTCAGGCAGGGTATGTGTGTTCACTATTCTCAGGTTGAGAAATGTCAAAAGGGAAGGGACAGTGGTAAAAACTACACTCCCTGAGATTTACTCAACAGACATGTGGCCTGAGATACTGCCATGCATTGGGGCTTCCTTGGGGCACACTGGTTCTACCCAGCCCTACCTCATAAGCTTCATGTCCAAAGGTTCAAACTTGGCAGGGGGTTGCCGGCTGTGCTGGTGCACGTAAGTGATGTGCTGGGCCAACCTGAAAAGAGGCAAGAAAAGAACACTCTAGGACTGCCTAACTTAGTATCCCCCTCCCACCCCCCACTCTACCTCTTCCTCATAGCATAGCAGGAACAGACTTTCTAAGACTCCTTCCAAATCAGCACCTCAGGCTTGACCCTTTACCTCTCAAATAACTAGATGCCAGCCTGTTTTAAGAGGCAGCATCTCTGGAATTTCAGATAGACAAAGGCTTTTTCTAATTTCACCTCCCTCCCTCCAGCCCAGCAAGAGTTCTTTTGGTGCTGAGCTTCATTCACCGGAGGTCATTGTCTCGGTCAGGCCGGTCCTGAATCAGCCAGAGAAGGTCAAATCGAGAGAGCAGTGCAGCCGGAAGCTGTATGTTCTGTTCCAGGCTGCGGCGGGGATTGTAGCGCCCATAGGCAGGATTGGCAGCGGCCAGGATGGAGCAGCGGGCATTGAGTGTGGTGAGAATGCCAGCCTTGGCAATGGAGATGGTCTGCTGCTCCATGACTTCATGGATGGCTGTGCGGTCAGCCTCGGCCATCTTGTCGAACTCATCGATGCAGCACACGCCCTGGTCAGCCAGCACCAGGGCCCCGCCCTCTAAGGTCAGCTCTCTGCTCACAGAGTCTCTCAGAACAGCTGCAGTGAGCCCTACTCCAGAGGAGCCCCGGCCTGTTGTATACTGGCCTGGAAGGGAAGAAAGGAAATAGGAAGGAAGAAAGAAAGAAGCAAGACATGGAGCCAGTGAAGGAAGACCTGTACTGGAAGTGCTTGCTCCAGGCCAGGCCTTCCTGAGGTGGTTGCAAAGTAAGGGTGCCAGCCTGGCAACACTGCCCTTTCCCCTCCCCATCAGGCCTCTACTTCCCAACCACAAACTTCCCAGCTTTTCAACAAACTGCTCTTGCCCTATGCCTACTCACTGCGGGGTGCCAGGCGATCAATGTAAGACAGCAGCTGAGACTTGGCCACACCAGGATCCCCCATCAGGCAGATGTTGATGTTGCCTGGAAGAGAAGGAAGCCATGAGTGACCCTTCTGCTGCAAGCTGTCCAACAAGAACACTTTTGCCTCACTCCTGTATTTCACGTTACCTGTTCTAAACAACATCCAGGTAGCCAACAAACCAAGATGCCAGATGTTATTTTGTGAGCTACATGGACACCAGCTCATGTTGCCGTTTTTCCTCCCAACCGACTCCATCTATGAAAAACTTCTTTTCCTCCTTACCTCTGATTTTCATGCCTCGAGGAGACTGGTCCACACCACCCACCAGCAGCAATAAGAGGGCCTTCTTTACATCTTCATGCCCATATATCTCTGG